GAAAGCTTCTGTTCTTAAAGTTTGAAACTTAATGTTTGTTTTATTTGAGTTCCTTCAGGCCTCTCAATCTATCAAAGAACTGAAAGTCATCCAGACAGTGAGATGCTGGACCCCTCATTCACTGTGATTGCTTCTTTGCCCTCCCTAGTTCCTGTTTTCTTATACATTGTTACATTTCTTCCCTGCGATCTAAACATCTGGTTTTGGTTGGTCAGGGAGATGGATTTGAGACTGAGTTCTCATCTCCCCCCGCTGCAGCACCGTAGTAAAACCCATTCTTTGGGAATAGTCATATCAGTGATTGGCTTTCTTTGCTGCAAGCAGCAAGTATCCCAGGTCTTTGAATTTTGGCAAAGGAGTCTCCTGATAAAGGCGGGATAGATTCTACTGACCAACCTGGAAAAGATCAGACATTTGAAAGCCTTAATCTTGGGGTTGGAGTTTGGGCTGCCCTTGAGCCTTTTCTTTGGGGCTCCCAGTCAAAATCAGCCTTGGCCAGGCATGTCTTCAGGGCCCAAGGGGTAGGGCCAGGTCCTCCCTAGGGGCTTCTCCCGCTGCGTTGGCAGCCACCCTTCCTTTCCCTGTGACTTGAAGAGAAGCTTCAGGGGGAAGCTTCAATTTGCGAAGAGCCCAGGAGACGCAGGTGCGCGGTCACTCTGTGGTTCCCACCGCATCCGCCGTCCTCCTTGGTCCTCTCGCTGTCTCTGGTGGGCAGTAACTTTCAGGGCGATCTTGGGCTTAGAAGACACCCAGGCAGGAAGGGACCTGTAGGGAAGGGCACTGCCCCGTTAGGTCCTGGGCAGGAGGGATCCGAAAAAGGTCTTGGAGAAAAGAGTTGGAAGTAGATCAAAGAGAAAGAAAGAAATCTTAGGAGATTTCCTATCTGAAGGCACCGGAAAAGGAAGTCCGCCTCCTCTGGGCCTCGTCCTCCCGTGCAGGTGAACCGAGTCCAGGTCTGCACTGGAGACCAAAGCAGGTAACTTTGCCCTGACTCCTAGTGAGGAAGCCACACGTGGTCCTGCCCTGATTAGTGCTCACTTCTGTAGCACTTGATTGTCTCTCCTGGATTTTCCATGGATTCCAGGGATGCAACTGGGAAAGAAATTTATTTTTTGCTTTTTTGAGATGGAGGCTAGAGTGCAATGGTGCGATTTCAGCTCACTGCAACCTCTGCCTCCTGGGTTCAAGTGATTCTCTTGCCTCAGCCTCCTGAGTAGCTCAGGCTACAGGCATGGGCCACCATACCTGGCTAATTTTTTTTTTTTTTTTTTACAGATGGGGTTTCTTCATGTTGGTCAGTCTGTTGTCCAACTCCTGACCTCAGGTGATCTGCCCAGCTTGCCCTCCCAAAGTGCTGGGATTACAGGCATGAGCCACCATGCCCGGCTGAGAAATTCATTTTAATGCACTTACTTGAAGGCAGAGTATTTTGAAATTTTTAGAAAAGAAAATGGTTTCTGACAAGTTTTACACTGAAGACATTCAGGTGTGAGGAAAACACAAAAACCACTTGGCTAGGGAAAGCAAATGCTGTTGAGAATGTCTCCCAAACACAGATTGCAAGTCACCAGGTAGGTCTGACCCTCAGGGCGGGCACATTTTACTTTAAGCGATTGTTGGAGAACTTAAAATGAATCTCGGACTTTATATACATACATAGGGTAGAGACAGGGTCTTGATATCTTGCCCAGGCTGGTCTCCAACTCTGGGCCTCAAGCGGTCCTCCACCACCCCTTCCCAAAGTGCTGAGATTACAGGCATGAGCCACCTCACCCAGGGCCTTTTGGTATTTTAATTTAATATTTTTAATTTAAATACACAATCCAAAAATGATATAAAAAGTACAGGAAGCCCAGTTTATGCCATTTTTACAAAAACAGGAAAGATGATATATCAATGACAAAGTGTCAGAGTGGCAACATCCTAAAGTAGTGAAAGTTTCCGTAGAATTCTATGCCAAATGAGAAACTCTTCCAAAATGTGACTGAAATAAGGATATTTAAAGACATAGCAAAAAATGCCGGGTTCATGGCTCATGCCTATATTCCCAGCACTTTGCGGGGCTGAGGTGAGTGGATCACGAGGTCAAGAGATCCAGACCATCGTGGGCAACATGGTGAAACCCCATCTCTACTAAAAATACAAAAATGAGCCGGGCATGGTGGCACGCACCTATAGTCCGAGCTACTCGGGAGGCTCAGGTGGAAGAATAGCTTGAACCCAGGAGGCGGAGTTTGCAGTGAGCTGAGATTGCGCCATTGCACTCCAGCCTGGAGACAGAGCAAGACTCTGTCTCAAAAACAAAAACAAAAACAAAAATACCAGAATTCACCAAACCACACTACAAAAGATGTTAAAGGATTCCCCCAGGCCTAAAGATAGGGATACCAGGCAGAAATCTGGACCCATACAAGGCAATGGAGATGACAGAAAGTCGCTATGCATGTAAATATCTTATTTTCTTATTATTTAAATATTTTTAAAAATTTGACAGATTAAATAAAAGCAAGAATAATGAATTCTGGGGTTTATAACACGTCTAAAATCAAATTACATGACAACACTAGCATAAAGGCCAGAAGGGGAGGTCCAACGTCACTTGATGGCAGACTGATCAAGATGCAGTGTAGAAACCCTAAAGCCATCACTGACACAACAAAAGAGTAAGAGTTAATAAGCCAGAAATAACTCCAAAAAATGGAAGGATATAAAAACCGTGTAATTACTGGGCGCTGTGGCTCACGCCTGTAATCCCAGCAGTTTGAGAGGCCAGGGCGGGCAGATCACTTGAGGTCAGGAGTTGGAGACCAGCCTGGTCAACGTGGTAAAACCCCAACTCTGCTAAAAATACAACAATTAGCCTGGTGTGGTGGCTTGGGCCTGTAATCCCAGCTGCTCAGGAGGCTGAATTAGGAGAATCACTTGAAGCTGGGAGGCAGGTGTTGCAGTGAGTTGAGATCGTGCCACTGCACTGCAGCCTGTGACTGCAGGTCACAGAGCGAGACTCTGTCTCAAAAATAAATAAATAAATAAATATACAAAAACCATGTAGACTGGGCATGGTGGCTCATGCCTGTAATTCCAGGACTTTGGGAGGCCAAGGCAGGTGGATCACGAGGTCAGGAGTTCAAGACCAGCCTAGCCAAGATGGTGTAACCCCGTCTCTACTGAAACTACAGCAATTAGTCTAGTGTGGTGGCAGGTGCCTGTAATCCCAGCTACTCGGCAGGCTCAGGCAGGGAATTGCTTGAACCGGGGAGGCAGGGGTTGCAGTGAGCCGAGATCACACCACTGCACACTCCAACCTCAGCAACAGAGTGAGATTCCTTTTCAAAATAAAACAAACAAACAACAACAACAAACCCAGGTAATCACCCTGCTGGAACAACTGCTCTCCAGGCCTCTACCCTGTAGAAATACACAAGTGGCCAATGAGAAGTGTACAGAGTGATGACTGCAGCATCATTTGTGATCACAAGGTAACAGAACCAACGTAATTTCAAAGATACATGAAAAGGGTTTCATTTATTTAACAAACAAAAACAATTGAACAAACAATGGAAGCATGTCCTTTGCCTAAAGGAAGGCAGAGGGTCAGGGTGATGCTACTCCTGCAAGAATTTCAGGGTTCCCAGACGCCTAGTTCTGGGCCTAGTTCTTCTGGAAGATCTTATTCTTGGGAGCGACAGGTTCTCTCATTTGGGGTCTTTCAGGTTCTATCTCCGTTTTCTCTTCAATTCCTCCTCATTCTGCTACAATAAAAAAACAATTTTCTGCCGGGCGGGGTGGCTCAGCATATAATCCCAGCACTTTGGGAGGCTGAGGTAGGCAGTCAGGAGTTCCAGACCAGTCTGGCCAACATGGTGAAACCCCATTTCTACTAAAAATACAAAAGTTAGCTGGGCGTGGTGGCGGGTGCCTGTAATCCCAGCTAC